CTGAGGTGAGTGCCGGGCCGGGCCGGGCCGCAGAGGGGGGTAACCGGCAGTCGGGCCCCTGGGCGCCGGGAGCTGCTGTGAGGGGAGGAGCGGGATTAGCAGGGGCTCCCTCTGGGCCGGGAGGGCGCATGGGTGCGTGTGTTTGTTTCCGTCTGCGTCGCGTCGCTGTTCCCAAAGGGGTTGGGGCGGGACGTCCAGCTCCCCTCGACCGGGCTGGAGCTTGAGGGGGATGTGGCACCGGCAGGGTACGTGTTGTGGAGCTATACGCCCTTCTGCCTGCCAAGAAACTCTGCTAGCCTAATTATATTGAGCGGACCTTAAAAGCACGTTTTCCGTTGCTTCTAAAGCACTTTTGATGCTTTGCAAGTCTGACGCGGTATGTGATGGCATTAAACTGCATCCCCGTCTGGTGGTGAGGTGTGCGAGGAGCTCTGTGAGACGCGAAGGGATTAGAAAGCCCAAGTGCCGAGAGAAGAAGGGTAATACCCTGACATGAGGGGATTTGGGGTGGTTTCTGCCATTGCCTCCATGTTAAGGGTAGACACAGGTACCCTGGAAAACTTAAGAAGATCAGTCAGCAATTCCAGGATCTTGGGATGTAAATATTCATCCTGTATTAGCCTTAGTATTAGAGGAATACTACAGTGTGTTAGTAAAGTTGGTGAGTGGTGATGGTAGTGTCACTTTAAATTACTGATAAGATTACGTTGGGAATCCTTTGCTAATATAAGTCTGTCTACAGCTTTTCAAAACTTGTATTCCTGAGAGGGGGAATGCAGAGCAAGCGAAGGAGGATGGCAGTTGTATAGATTAAAGTTGAACAACTCGAGTGGAAAGAATGTAAGCCTTATGTTTAGAATTTTTTAGCATGTTGTGGTCCGTGTTTGGTTGGTCTCACTACCTCAGAAGAAATTTACTGTTCTGCACAATAATACAGTTCCTCTTACAGATTTTCTGTTGCAAGTGGAAAATTTGTACTTGGAGCCATGGAGTGGAAAATATTATTGAGGCCAGGGTACTGGTAGCACATTGTTTTAAGCTTCTTGCTTATTTATTATTTAATACTGCACAAGGCCATAAATCAAACCAGCACTTTATGAGCTTGAAACACCTCTCAGCTTCTGCCTGAAAGATCTAAAGCAGACTAGAAAACCAGACAAATACCACAGATGAGACCATAAAATGTAATGGGGGAGGTGGACCTCTTCAGTCCTCAAAAGTGCTGATCCAGGTACATTGGGCATTGCTTTGATGCTCCCCTCTGCCCTTCTTCCCTCAAACTTTTATTGATTGCTGTTAATTTTAGGTTAGGGCTCCTTAAGGTCATTCAAGCCAGTATAAGAGTGTTAAAACAACGAAACAAACCCAATGCTGCTCCTGGTACTAATGATTCAACTTTGGTACTGTTGAGTCTTAAAGTGCTACGCTAGTGTGGATCATATTCACAGATTCACAGATTGGTAGGGGTTGGAAGGGACCTCTAGAGATCATCTAGTCCAACCCTCCTGCTAGAGCAGGATCACTTAGAGCATGTTGCACAGGATTGCGTCCAGGCGGGTTTTGAATATCTCCAGAGAAGGAAGCTCTACAACCTCTCTGGGCAGCCTGTTCCAGTGCTTGGTCACCCTCAGAGCAAAGAAGTTTTTCCTCACATGCAGATGGAACTTCCTGTGACCCAGTTTGGTCCCATTGCCCCTTGTCCTGTCACTGGGCACCATTGAGAAGAGTCTGGCCCCTTCCTCTAGACATCCACCCTTTAGATATTTATAAGCACTGATCAGATCCCCTCTCAGTCTTCTCCAGGCTGAAAACAGACCCAGCTCTCTCAGCTTTTCCTCATACGAGAGATGCTCAAGTCCCTTAATCGTCTTTGTAGCCCTCCGCTGAACTCTCTCCAGTAGTTCCCTGTCTGTCTTGAACTGGGGAGCCCAGAGCTGGACACACCATTCCAGATGTGGCCTCACCAGGGCAGAGTAGAGGGGGAAGATAACCTCCCTCGACCTGCTGGTCACACTCTTCTTAACACAGCCCAAGATACCATTGGCCTTCTTGGCCATGAAGGAGCATTGATGGCTCATGGAGAGCTTGTGGTCCACCAGGACTTCCAGGTCCTTCTCTGCAGTGCTGCTTCCCAGCAGGTCAACCCCTAACCTATACTGGTGTCTGGGGTTGTTTTTCCCTAGGTGCAGGGCCCTACACTTGCCCTTATTGAATTTCATATGGTTCCTCTCTGCCCAGTTCTCTAGTCTGTCAAGATCTCGCTGAACAGCAGCACAGCCTTCTGGTGTGTCGGCCACTCCTCCTGGCTGAATTTGCTGAGGGTACATTCTGTCCCCTCGTCCAGGTCATCGATGAATACATTGAATAAGACTGGACCAAGCCCTGACCTTTGGGGCACACCACTAGGTACCGGCCTCCAACTAGACTCTGTGCCGCTTATCACAACCCTCTGGGCTCTGCCATTCAGCCAGTTATATAACCGAACTCTGTTGTCCAAGCAGCTAATCAGCCTTTGTGCCACTGCTCCAGGAGTGCCTTGGGACTGAAGCCTGGCAAGAGAAGTCTATATTGTCTAGGACCGGGTGAGTTGAAGTGTGAATTGATATTAACGTGGCACCATCCTGAGCTGCGCACCCACATTCCCATTCATGAAGAACAAATAAAAAATGGAGAGTTTTCACGCCCCTTCTTGAGGGTTGAAAAACCCAGCGTGGCTTTTGAACTCAATACTTTTTCCGAAAGTGTCTTGTCTTTTTCTCCATGTAGTTCTCTGGTTCATAGGAGAGCCAAGGGTTATGTGCTATATTTATGAAGATAATTTCTTGTGGGTGGATTGTGTCTGGTGCCATTATTGTGTAATATTTGCACTTGTCATTAGAGAAGTTTATGTTCTGATAACTGTGCTTACTTAACACAGGATCTAGAACACCCGTGGCCTTCTGGGTTTACAGTTATCTTCACTAAACAAATAACCCAGATGATGCTATCCAAACAAAAGATTCAAATGCCAGTTTTCTTATCCCTCATATTAATATTTAAAAATTAAAAATTAATCTGCAAGTTGACAACCCAAACGCTCAGGAGAGATTGGAAGAACATGTCTGCAGAAATCAGTTTGGATAGTGCAATTATCAGAAGAACCTTCTCTCCTTCTCTGTGCTGGGGGATGTGAAGGGAGAGAGAGATGTTTTACGCAGTCCTGAGAGCCAAGTGTCCCCAGTATGCCCTAGAACAGATGAACATGCCCAAAATGCTAGGGCTTGTGGTGGGAGCAAGGTTTCCTGGAATCACTCTGTCCTTGTACTCAGCACATATAATCTACTTCAGTAGGAAAAAAAAGTAACTCCTTTTCCTAAATGAGAGTTGTTTTTTGGTTTGGTTTTTTTTTTGCAGTTTTATGCATCAGATGTTACTAGTGCAAGGGAATACATTTCGATCATTATGTTATTTTGATTTGCCTCCAGGTGCTGAGGAATTTTAGTACCATTCAGACTCCATTTCTGTCCTAACATGGACATAGTTCAATCAGCCACCACAGAAATCATGATTGCTAAGACATCCTTCAAGAAAATACCCAGTGACCTTCTGGGCAGCCTAGTGGAGGAACCTAAAAAAAGACATGCTATCCCCAATCACCTGCTGGAATCAAGTAAGTTTCTGCTCTCGGATTGTTCTCCAACCTTGGAGCAATCCTAGGAGGCACTTCTCTATTATTTTTTTTCACAACACACAGGCAAAACTCCCATCCTGCTGCTTAAATTGCATCTTCCTGTGAGCCCAAATCATAGGAAAGGTAGTCAGGAAAGAAATAGTGGCTGTGCTGATCCTGGCTTGACCCTGAAGTTTTGAGGTGGCTTGTTGATTCCAAGACATAAACTGGTGACAGGATCATGGCTCTGCTGGGGTAGTAGATGCCACCTTAACTTTCCATTTAAAGAGTCATGCCTGCTTAGCAGAAGAAATAATCTCTGTCTCAATTTTTTTTATATAATACATTGAGTGCAACATATATATACTTAATCAATGTAAGTAACAGTCATGTTGATTTCACCTGGTCTCCTTTTGTCCCTGTTTTATTATCTATCTCTGTAGAGATTTATTCAGAACTGGAAAGGAGCAAGGTTGTACAGGCTGAGCCTGCTGTGTTACACTATGGAGGGTACAAAGTTGGAAAACATCACCAACAGACACTGGTGAGTGTCAGAGCAGGGATCCTCTTGGGGCTCATAAAAGGATAACAGAAGCTGAGCAGACTGCTTGTGGTCATGAGGCCTTTTGCTCTATGGAGTGCTCTAAAAAGCAGCACTCAAAATCAACAGCCTCGTGGTAACAAATCAGACAAGTACCATGGTGTGTACTTCGCTGTTCTTTACAGTCTCTGTTTTACCTTTCTTTTTCCCATGTCTGCGAGCAGTGTTACTGATATGTAACTTGCATGTCATGAATGAAGGGTTAATGTTTTAACTCCATAAGGGACTGTTTTCAAAATGTGCTTGGACCGTCACTGTGTCTGCCAACACGTTCACTGGTGGGAAAATTTTGAAAGCACCTCTGGCCTTCTGCCAAGAGCAATTTAATCTAAGGAAAGAAACTCCATGCATAGATTTGATTTCCTTTCCTTGTGAACAGTTTGGGTATTTCCTTTTCTTCTCTCTGCTTTCCCTTTGTCTGCCTTCTTTATTCATGTGGTTAGCGTTTTGATGCAGAGGTTGGGTGATTATGGTGGACTGGGTTCTCCAGATATAATGAAAGTAAACAAGATGCAGGAGGCTTTACAGGCTGAACTGTCACCATCCAAAGGTTTGTTGCTTTGCGATCCAAAGCAAAACCATGGAATATTACATTATTTGTGTTGTTTCAGACCTCTGTAAAAGCAAAGTCAATAGGTTGTTTCATTTTTTGTTCCTTTTGCACATAAGCAAAACAGTACCAGAATTTGATTCAACAGTAAGACTGTTATTGCCTGGTAAGGAATTGTGACTTGGTTCCAGAGAATAAAAATGCAGGATGCAAGGTTTATATAATTTTCTTTTAAATTCAGAGCATAATCAGAATTATTTCTGCTAAAGTAAAAATTTTTACTTCCTTGTTTAATACAGCTTCTTTGCTATGGATAGTCTCACAAAAACTACAATTGGCATTCTCAATAGACCTCTTATATTGTAAAGTGTTTCGTGGTTTTTGTTTTCTTTTATTCTGCAGAAACTGATAAATATATCTGGTGATGTAATAAACCTTCACATAATACCACCCCAGACAAAGTATTTTCAGATCAAATACAACAAAACAGTAAGTGTCAGAAAGGCTTCACACTGCCCTTTGCATGCAGCACTGGTTTTGTGTCATATAAACGGCTTTTACATGTGTTCTATATTATTTTGGGTCATTTTCTAGCACCGGCTTGTCCCTGGCTTGTCATATGTGGTTACTGTTGATTTTTGTCCTGATGAGTGGCGGTATTACTATGACTGCATCCGAATTCACTGTCAGGTGAGGATTTATTATAAAATATATTTACAGTTGTAATGGACCAAAACAACTATTAGGACATGATGATAATGATAAAGGTACAGATAATCTCCTAGACCCACATGGGTTTATTCCCAGTAAGTCTGGATTGGAGTATTTCATTCTAAACATTTAAAATTTTTCTCCCTTTAAACATCCCAGAGCTGTGGGTAGAATATCTTCCTTGTTCTGTTACTCTTTGCCAGATCAGTCTTTGTGCCACACTGACGTAATGTCTTAGCTTAGTAGGCTTGAAGGAGCTCTGTAGTTGCCGAAAGTATGGAAAGACAGATGGATACCGAAAGCAGGTAGAATATCAATATCCTGAGGTGCAACACAGTGATCATCTTGAAGATGTTTTATGCTCACTTACTGGCCAACTACTACAGAAACTTTTTCTTTCCATAACATTTATTCATTGTAAGAAATAAATATTTACCTCCTTTTTTTTTTTTTTTTTTTCCAGGGAGAAGATACATTAGTCATTCCTGTGCATGCTTACCCTGCTGTGAATGTTGTAGAATTTCCATCATTTATAAATCTGTCTGATGTATCAGTTGGTAAGAGGTGAGTTAAGGACAGACATTTGTCCACATTTTGAGAGACATGCACAAAATCTGAAAAATCTCATTCTCCTCTATTTGTACAACTTAACATCTCGGAAGCTTTAAGGAAGTCAGCTATCATATGGACTGCAAAATAATTCTGTATATGAACTGTTTCAGGTGCACATTCACAGGAAAGTAAATTCTGTGCAAACTAAACATATACGTAGATGGAACTGGGGTTTCAGCTAATTAAACTAGTGCTGACTCCATTCATTGTACGGTGAAGTAATATGGCTGCTGTTCATAATCTGTACACTTCCAAGTACTAAGTCTTTTTAGCATTAGTAAGTCCTAAGTGAACAGATCTTCCTTTCAGGATGAAGGGTTCTGGAAATGCAGTTTTGAGCTGGTAATGGTAGGTGTGACAGCAAATAGCTAATCTCAGTCCAGAGATTGATCAGTCATTAGATTTGCTTCTTCTATTTAAAAATATTTAAAGTGCTCTTCTGATGTGGAGCTCTAAATGGTATAGACTTCATCTTCCTCTGCAGCATAGATGTAACGCTGACTGTTCTCATGAAGTAATCAGTAATAATTGTTAATAGGAACTGGGAAGGGGAAAAGGAGAAGGAAGATCCTCTTGATTAGGGTCTAGTTCTGTAGTATATTGATTATATTAGTTGTAATTATGGTGTAAAGTTAGTGTAAAGATTTCTGTGAATTCTAGGAACTGAAGGTCTTAGCAGCTAGTTTTTGTCTTAGCCTGTGCGTTGGAAGTAACTCATAAATTTTACTGAAGCACAGAAATATGAATAGGCAAGGCATATACAAGGAAAATGCAAAATTCTGCAGTAAAACTGAGCCTAGCATTGTAGAATGAACATTTGTGTCTTTTTGTTTATTTGTTTTTCTAATCCCCCTTAATCTGTTAAACTCTAGTGAATCTGTCAGAAGTGATGTTTCAGCTGTATCACAGGACTGAACATAACTCCTGACTTTCTGGGTGCCTCTAGGCATGATGTGATTCTGTTTATTTGCTCCATTTTTATAACAAGTGCTGAGGTATAAAGAATTTTCATACTCTCAGAATACAGAAAAGAGATTAGACAGAATACAAAATGCAATTTTAAATAACAGGAATTTTTTTTAATACAACAGGGATGCTCAGAGATGCCCCTGAAGCAATTTGGAAGAGTTCCTGAAGAGAAAACTGATGGTTTCAAACCTTAATTTTTACCAGTATTTATCATCATTAGGCTATTAAAAACTTTCCTAAAAATGAAAGTTCTCTGAGATACTTGGTACTGTACAGAACCCAAGGGACTATGGGCTCCATAGTGCTCTGAGGTCAATGGAAAAAATGCCTTTTATTTCCACAAGTGTAGGATAAGACATATATTCTACCACCGAGCTTTCTCCTTAGATACAGAAGGTCCATAAGGCAACAGGCAGCATAATTGTCTTGTTTCTAAGACAGTTTGGTTACTGTAGAAGCTGCACTATTCCTTAAAATAAATTGCCTCCCCAATCTGCTGTTACATCTTCTTCCTGAACAGGTCATATTAAGGCAGAGAAAAAAGGACTTTGCTATTATTCTTTATTTCCTTAGGCATTTCAAAATGTACTTTCCAAAGGAAAATTGTGTATAACATGCATTCTTTGCTAATCAGCAGGATAGGATTTCAGTCAGTTTACAAAAACCAGAAATAAGCCTGGATAAATTGGTCTTGATTTGTAGGATGATGGACGGTGTTACACCAATGCTTTCGTATTTCAGTTTGATACACAAAAATAAATGCATACGAAAGCAAGACAGCTTGCAAAGATGTGTGCTAATACCCCTCGCACTATCAGCGTGAGACATAAAGGGCTTTTATGAAAATCAGGCCACGGCATCATTATCTCTACAGTGGTTAAAGTCTGGTTACTCTGATGTGCTGGAATTTTCAACACTGCACTGTCTTTTCTCATTGTCTTCCACGAGGAGGGCCATGGGAGGAGGTTGATTTCTGGTTCTGTGTTTATTGTTACTCCAGTTTGGATTGTTTGTACTTGCTAGATATTGTAGTTTTCAAGAATGTGAGCATACACATAAGTAACTTCTAAAAAGTAAATTTTATAAATATTTCTGTAATCAGATTCTCTGTGGGTAGGAGAAAGTAAGTCAAGATGTAAAATACCTAGCACTCAAATCATGGTTTAGCTCTCATTTCCTCACTGAGTGAAAGATCTGAAATATTTTGCTATTTTGGAACAACGAAGAACGGCTATTTTTTCACATTAATAATTAACCCATCCCTCTGAACACAGATATATTCAGTGCATGTTGTGTATAATATGATTTTCCAGCTTGTAATTGATGATCAACTGTAGTTTCATTAATTTCTTTCTTCCTTTCTCTCTTTTCAGTAAGGAGTATGTTATCCCGTTGCAGTGCAGCTGTCCAATAGACTTTGAATTCCACATTGATTTTATTCAGCCTCATAGAGCCTTCACTGTCCAGCCAACATTTGGTAGATTGAACTTATTTAAAATTCTAAACATTAAATCCATATTTATTGAGTGTAGTTACTTGTGACAGTGTATTCAGTGTTGTACAGAAAAAGCCTTTGCCTCAGAATGTTTCCACGTAAATGCAGGCTGATAAATATTAGCCACATGCAGCCTCATGGCAAACAGCCCTCTGTGGCTGGTAGATTTCTTTTGTCAATGCCCAGCTACAGACCTTGGGCAAAATATGGGACGTCCCAAACAGTCCATCCAGCCTTTGTCTGCTGCCTTTGCCAGTATGGCCTTTGGAGAGGAGAGGGGCAGGGAGCCCAGCATTCACCTCTTTATCACACCTTTCCCCAAGGACTGTCTGTCTCCCGCCCCATTAAAGGAACACATACTGGTCTTTGTGCAATAGGTATGCATCGTATTACTTGACTAGGGGCACAGAGGAAATAAAAGGTGACCTCTGCTCTATCAAACATATCCCCGTACCTGTTTTTACCCTAGTGCTCTGGAAGAATTTGATAGGACTGTGTCTGTTGCTTCAGGAGTCATTACAGTGATGGGCACAAAACACACCACTGCAGGTGTTTCATGGGGCGGCAGTGGATATTAGATTCAGTCTAGACCTCTCTGTATGGGCTCCACAAGAGGCAGGGACTTTAGGCTACAGTATGCTTGGCTATTTTCATGCCTAATGCTGGAGAGGACTCTGTCTTGGGACAGACGTAACTATTTGCAGGTCAGTTGCTACCATTGTTACATTTACCAGGTGCCAGCAGTAGCATGTAAGTGCCCAGGTGTTCTGACAAAAACATGTAAGTGAATGAGACCTGGCTGTATAATTCACTTAGGCAGTCTGGTCAATTCCATGAAAATGCATAAAGACCTAAATAAATAAAAGCCTTCATAAATCTGGTGCTTAGTGCCATTTGTGACACTGGAATTTAAACTCTGATTATTTATGCACTTCAATAAAAGTTGCTGTTGTTCCTGTATGTACAATGGTATGAATTTGCCCTGTCTTGTCGGATGGATTTTCATTCTTCAGAGGTAGTAGTTGGATTCTATTAGCTGTGTGCTTCACAAATGTGAACTATGCTGCTGCCTTGTTTTGGGTCATTCTTTCAGGGTAATGTTCTTGCTTACTTTGTACTTAAAGAATTTTTGATACATCAATGGAGGAAGGGAACGGTATTACAATTGAGTAAAACTGGGGAGAAGTAAAATTTGTTAGGAAGTTTTTGGGTTTTTGCATGGTCATAGACAAAGTGGCTGGAACTAATTCATGCTTGCTAAGTTGGCTTAGTTCTTGAGAGAAAGGGGGACAAAAATATCCCAGAAAAAAAACATCAACCCAGTGAAAGTTAAGTCAGAAACTTTGGTAGCTAGAAACTTGGAGGTGCTGAAGGCCATCTGAAAAGCACTAAGAAGTTTCAGCTCCTACTCAAGCCATTGAGCTCTGAGATCAGTAATGATGAAATACTCTAACAAATTACACACACACACACACACACTCCCACAATGAAATTAACTGTTGTTTAAAACTACAGGATGCAGAAAACCAGGCAATGGTCACTTTACAGAGATGAGAAATTAATATTTCTGATGAGCTGAATAAATTCCTTGTTGCAGAAATGCCTAGGACCATCAGGGACTGTATCCTGGGATTGCACTGAATGTTTAGGGATATGAAGGGTGGTTAAATTGCTTGAGAAAATAATAGGTAGTAAGGAAGTAACACCAGGTAGAGACAGGTAATGTATCAAATCCAGATGATTCCACCAACTTGGACTAGCACAGAGGAATATGTTTAGAATGCCTTGTTCATGAAAGCAGGAAGTGCCAGAGACTTAAGGCTGGCAGATGCAAGTGAAGAATTTCTACATATAAACAGGCAATCATTTTCACAACAGTAGGAAATATTATAGCCTTACTTTCAAATCACTATGCTATTGTGAGATATCTCCCATTATCTGGCAATGGATAGTTCTTGAAAGACACTTTGAAACATTTTCCATGTCCACTGCCATTCATTCAAACATTAATATTGTTTTAAAAAAGTGTAGTCCAGAATTAATGTCAGCATACTTATGTGGGCTCATGTTAGATGGACTCTTACTGTTTTTCTCTTCTAATCACAGGAATCATTCCAGGCAATGGGAAAGTGGAAGTAACTGTGAAATATTCCCCATTTGAGTATGGAACAGCACAAATGACAATGCAGTTACGAATTTCACAGTTTCACTCAAAACCCTATGTATGCGTATTCACAGGAACTTCGACACCACATCTGGGTCTAATGTATGTGTGGCTGACTGATCTTTGAATATTTTTGCCCAGTGTTAAAAATCCTCTGTAATAGGATTTCATGCCATTTTGCTGTAACCATTTTAAGCATTTGTGTCTGTGGAGACTTAAAATGCACTAATGTAATTCAACTGTTAATACATGTACCTGGTCTCTTACATCATTTACTCAGAGTGCCCTTAATCTGTATGAAGTGAAACTGTACCAAAATAAGAATAATGAGAAGTTATATATCCTTAAAGAAGTGTTGAGCATCCTCAGATTCTGTTATGCCTGCTCTATGTTATTCTTATCGCTGAGGCCTTGGAAGTTAAAGGGGGTTTTGAGCAATAAGGTCTTTTGGGATGTACTTAATTTTTTGTGAACTCTGAAGATTAGAAAGTTGGGTTCCAGTTGTAATTTGGGAGAGAAATTTCCAGTATCCTTGTATATTTAAATGTATATATGCATGTACTAGACTTATATGCCATTTACAGAGTGCTTAAAAGAGCAATATCTGTCCTTCTGACACCTAGAAAAGAACATTTTAACAAACAGCGAAGGCGTCCAGAGAAAAAAGCTGCATCTGCAGGAAAATCCATTGTGTGGAGAAGAGGCCAATTCAGCCAACCACAATCGAGGCCTATTCAAAAAGTAAAGGTGTGAAGAGATAATAATCACAAGTACTTTTCTGGGCTGAACATCTGTCTTGTTTCTATTTCTTCCTATCAACTTATATCTTGTAGGAAATAATTGAATACCAGAACCTCAGATTCCCCACAGACTTGTCAAATCCATATGCTGTAGCTACTGTTTTGAATCAGGAACCAGGCAAATTGAAGATTAAGGACTTGAAAGAAGGTAATGTGATTAAGCAGTATAAACTTGATCTTAGCATTATTTGTAGGTTTCTGATGAGGAAGTCAGCTTCAAAATTGCTGAGGTGACGTGACTGTAGCTTCTATAAGAAATGTCACCTTAGCTTTATGTATTAATGAGTTCAGTTATCATAATGGATGGATTTCCCGATTAAAAATTCATTCTAGTTTGAGGTGTGATATAGCTTTCTGATATTCCTGCAGCCTTTTCCCAAGGCAATGAAGGGATAAAAATAAGACAGATGAAGGAAGCCATATTTCAACTAAAAGTCAAACAAAATATTCAGGAAGAGGAAGGAAATCATCTAAAGAGGTAAGTGTTAATTAACCACATTAACAACACTGGGGTTTGCATAACTAAGTAAGTTCTCTATGAATGATGTATGCAATATCCATTAGTGCATAATGCTGCCATTTCATGTCCTGATTGGTTTGTTTTGCAACTAAGTTACTGTTGTTTTACTTTCTTTTTTTTTTTTCTCTTCTGCCTAAAAGCAGTCTCAGTAGTAATCCATACTAGTACCCAATGAAGTCTTTGATTGTGTTATGGCTGCATTCAGAAAGAAACCTGCTGAAATCCTTGTTCACCTAACCTTGTTCTCAGGCATCTCATCTTGTGCCCTTAAGGGCAAAGGAAGCTTTTGCCACAGTTGCCAATAAATCAAGGGTAAAATATATAATGGAGTGAACAGAATTCCACATGTACATCAAATGGTGTAAAGCAAAACACGTAGTCGTGTGTGTAAGCACACCATGGTTTCATTTGCAATCCACAGATCTGCTCATACGTTGAATCTGCTCATATGTTGAATGTTATGGACCCCTAGACACCTTAGGAAGAGGAGAATAAGTCTGTTAGCCTTTAAATAAAGCAAACTGTGCGTTAAGTAAAGCATTTTTCTTGCTTTCACCGTAAATACAGGCAAGTTCATAAAGGCAAAGATCCAATATCTGTGGAATTTAAAAAAGAGGTTATTGAAAACCGACAGAGGGAAGAAGAGCAATACAAGGTTAGTCTTTGCTGTTTTTTCTATAGAATTAAAATCAAATTTATACTTTCAGATTATGCATTGCACTACTGAATTTTATGAAGCTCTCTATATCTTCAGTTTTTCTTCATACATCACTGCAAACCTGTACCAGCTGTACTTCTTGTTGCAGTTGTATTTTTATTATGTCTGCATATCACTGTTTCTGAGGTGGTTTTATCTTGGAGGTAGACAGAGGGAAAGATAAGTTATTAATGGAAATGTAACTAGATATTTGCCCAGCCTCGCAGATTTGCACTGAGCCACCCAGCCACGTCACAGTGCAACATTGCAGCATAATTCTGTCAGCACTGTGGCTGCATCCAGCCTTCTGCTTATATTGTACCTCTCTGAAGAACTGATGTCCTGAATGGCTCACAGTTAAAGAGCTACACCCAGTCAGTACTCTCACACAGAGCCATGGGGAGATAAATCATCAGGTTGTTCTTCTACACCTTCATCCTCCCTCGTTGGTTTCTTCCAGTCACCCCAGACTGCGGGTCATCTTCCATGGAGGTAACAGCAGCAATACTTGGTAGCAGGAAATATTTTTCCCCATGTGGCACAGCCCTCAGGGACAGGTGGGGCTTGTCCCTCTTATCCTGCCTCCTGGGTATTTAAGTAGCTCCTGACATCCCACTGACTTCCAAGGAGCTGTTTATGCGAGTAAAATTATTTCTAGATAGGGTAAAGGCTTAATTTATACTCTGAATTAGGCACTGTGAAGTAATTCAAACATATTTAATACTAACAAAGGAGGAGTGAGTAAAAAGATGATCTAAATTGTGAGACTGTTGTATCACTGAGTTAGATGTATGTTAACTTTGTTTAGAAACATTTATTTACTTACCTGTTGGCCACAGGGGCTATGGAGATCTCTGGCTGGTTTCACAGTTGCCCCCATGACTTTCTGATGGAGGCATATTTTTACTCATGCTGTCAATTTGTTCATCTTGAGCATCATTAGACCTCACAGAGTATTTATTATACCTCTATCATTTGCTCAAGTGTCCACTATGTTACACAGCCTGGGAGTGGCTGTCCTGGAGACCTTTAACTGGTCTGTCTTCCATTGTACTAACTAGAACCTCAGTACAAGACAATCATGGGAATTTCACTCGGCAAAATAACCCCCAGGTCTTTGTTTAAGACATAATAGTATCCTGGAAATGAAACAACAGGTAAGTAGGACTGGGATGGAAGAGGCACAATGAAAAGAAGCACTGGTATTCATCCAGCATGCCTGAGCACTTTGAGAGGGTCTCAAAGAAGTGAAGTTATATCAGTAGTAAACTGTTTCACACATGGACAGATTAAAGAGCTGACACCATTGGAAACCATGCCAGAGATGTTCACAGAACATGGGAAAACTGCAGGAAATTTCTGTAGCGCTGTTGTCACGGAAGATCTGTTCAGGTGCTAACTTATGGTGTTGGTTCTGTAACCCCTGGCTGATTCTGGCTATGCAAAGCAAACTGTGTTTCATTAGGGTGGGGATCTGACTGAAACTCAAGCCCAAAATGACATTTACTTTGACTTGCTCAAGAGTCCCAATAGTCACTCACTAGAAGGGAATGAAGTCTGTGTTTTGTCAAGCACCTCCAAAATGTTACAATATAAGTGAGTTCCACTAATTGTAAAGGAGAAAATAATTCACTGGATGCTTGTACTAATGTGATTGTTCTTCCTGCT